CACATCGCTACTCAGCGATGCCCGCGGGGGCTCGGCCGCCTCCTCCACGAGCAGGGGGATGCCAATGACAGCATCTACCCCACGCTCACCTCTGGAGGGCTGCTACGGCCTTGGCTACAGCATGACTACATCCTACCGTCGCTAGTGTAGCACACGTGCGGGACACCCAGTGGACAGCGTGACGCTGCCGTGAAGGGGTTAAGAGTCACCTGCCTGCTGTGACTTAGCAGGAAATCCAGCGGACAGGGTGCTACACACCAGGCAGGCAAAGAGGGGAAAAGATCTGGCTCCCTGCTGCAAGCTGGGATGCGGAGACTTTGCAGCATGTCCCCAGGCAGGAAGACAGCGAGCGCAACTGCCTGAAACAGCCTCTGTCCTCCTCGGGAGCTCCCCGGAGCCCGACGAGCAGCGTCAGCGCCGCCAGGCTCAGGGCTCGGCTAAGCTGGGAGAGTCACGCAGCTCTGCCAAGAACAGCCGTGTGACTGTGAACCTGTGGCCTCGTTATAAAGAGTTAATTACGGCAATCAGAGTCCAGGAGGGCAAGCAAACGCCCACACGCTGCCTAGATCTGTGCTAGGCAAATTAGCTCGCAGGGACTCTTGAGCCAGTCTTGGACTAAATGGCTCGGCTACAACCAAGCGAGCAGCCACAGGAGCTCTGTGTGGGTTTTTCAGTCTGGCCTGAGCTCTGGGCTACCTGTTTCCATCTCTCGTCTTGGCTGTTTAAAGCTGGCTCGAGACATCCATCACTCACATTTGCATAGGGATATGCGCTAGGAGGAGATCTGCAGCCTTTCTGCTGGCTCTGCAGAGGGAGGGAGGAAGGCTTACAAGGAGAGGAAGAGGAGGAAGGTTACCATGCTAAAGAAGTCCTCGCTTCCGCTGGGCTGGAAGTTCAGGCGGGCAAAAGACAGGATGATACTGCACACATGGGAGACCGACAACTCTTTGGTGTTGTCCAGGGCGTACTGAAAGACAGAAGGGACAAAATCAGAGGTTTCGATCTCTCCCAAACGAGCACAGACAGGAAAAGATCGAAAACGCTAGTCAAGAGCACGTCCAGCCCCACGGCAGGATGGGAACACACAAGCAAAAGATCCTCTTGTGCAGCCCTGGGATTTTACCCTGGCACGAAGGAAAGCTGTGAGTAGATGCAGAGCTCAGTAACGTTCCTACTTGTCTGGTACAGACACAGAGGCGCAGGCACATAAAACTGGGTCAGGGCTGCGAAGAGGCTGTGGCCGGGGCTCCCCCCCCAGGTTCTGCAGGTGCCTGGGGAGAGAAGCCGCTCTGGGACTCAGGGGCTGGAGGCTGGAAAGGGGGCTGAAACTGCCCAAAAATCAGCACAGATTCCGACCGTCGATTTTAGTGAAGCATGAACAGTGAATACCGTCAAACCCAGTTACAGCCACCGGGTAGGGAGAACAGTGACGACACGGCAAGCGCTCTCTGGAGAGCGGGGGGGGGGGAACTGCCACGCACGTCCTGGAAACTGGGGAGGATCGGAGTCGCGCTGGCCCCAGCGGTGCTTCCTTTTTCCCCTCGGCCTCCTCCCCCACCTCCTCACCTGTGCAATGGCCTCAAACAGCGGCAGGTTGAGCCACTTGAGGACGGCGAAGGACCTGATGCAGCGCGTCACTTCGACGGGCGTCATCGTGGACACGTGGGGGTGCAGGTCAGTGGCTATCTTCTGGAAGACCTGGGGCTGGTGGAAATTCAGTTTTCCTTAAAGGGGCAAAAGAAAGTGGCAGCTACTTACAAGGAGCTGGTACGGGAGCTACGCCTGGAAGGGCGGTGGCGGCACAAGCAGGAGAAGCACAAAGCGAGGATCAGAGGAGGCTCGGAGGCAGCCATTGGCTTTGCTCCCTCCCTTTTTGTCCGACACAAC